AACCAAAATAAGAGTATTCTACGCTGACATTTTTCTCCCATCCCACAACCCCAATTGGAAAAAAAAAATCAATCTAAATTCAATAAATTCAAATCCAAATTCAATTCAAATTTGATAGGATTTAGTATTATAACCAACTAGGGAGAATGAGAAGTGAGTTAAGGAGGCCAAGTACTTTAGTGGTATGCCTTCATTTTCCTTTTGAGCATACCTTGATGAAGATGATGATGACCTTTTTTTCTTCTTTTAGTTTTGGTTTTTAGTTTCTTATTTTACTTTTAGTTTTAAATCTTAAAAAAAAAAAAAAAGTTTCATATAGTTAATCCATGTGGTGCCATATGATTGATTAGTGGGACAACAAATATTGACGAAACTTTAACGGAATGATTAAATTGATACTTTAATGGAATGATTAAATTGATACTTTAATGGAATGATTAAATTGATGTGTGGTATTGAAAGTTAGGGACCAAATTTATCAATTTTTAAAACTCATGGACCAAAATGAGGAGTTGGATCAATGTTAGGGATTATTTGCGATAAAAACCCTTATTTTGTCTAATTCACGTGTCACCATTTTATTGGATTTGTGGGTACTACATATAAAATAACAGAATAGTTCATGGAATCTTAACGGAAAGACTAAATTGATGTACGGTAGTGAATGTTACAGACAACATTAATTAATTTTAAAAATGAATGATCAAAATGATGAATTTGATCCATCTTAAAGATCATTTAGGATGAAAACCTTTTCAAAATTTGTATTTAGCACTAGAACTTTCCAAAAGTTCAAATCCCGAATCCCAAACTACTCCAAACTTTTTCAGTACATATCTCCCATGTGAATGTTGTCAATTGTGTTTTTGGCTTTTACTTGATACAAAACTCTTTCCACCTCTCCAGTCCACAGCAGCTTAGCAAGTTGCATGCATGCAATCCCAACGTGGCTGCACTCTCCCTATCAGATCCACACGTGTCGCTCTCTCATACTCTCTGTGTCGTTCAGATAAAACCAAAACCAGCCTCTGCCACCGTGCTCTTCCCCCCATTCTCCATGCTCCATGCTCCGTCAACTGCAGAGACCGAGGCGATAAGCATCACAACAGTAGGACAGAGAATTGAATTATACGAAACTGAGTTTATGCAAGCAGTCCTTTATTAAATAAAAGTATTGAGTTTTTGTATAATAGTATGCGTTCAAATTTTATCGACAACGAGTCTAGCGTTTAATTTAATAAAATTTGTCATTGATAAAAAGAAAAGAAAAACGAGTTTATCCTCATGTGATTCGAATTTACAATATACGTTATGCTTGGATGTGTAAATTTATGCATCCAATATTATCTAATCATGACGTCACAACCACCTTGAATTCATCTTGAGTAAGTTCTTCGCTAATAATAATAGGCAGATGTGATGACTTCCAAATGTAATAACCAATTGTTTGAAGTTATTATCTTCATATAGAAATTTCCACTTCCATTAATATAGAACTAGCCTTCATACACGAGCTCATGCGCATGTAGAAAATATTTTTTGAATCATAGCGTGCTACGTTTGATTTACACGTTTTAAATGTATTTATATACGTAAATTAACAAAGCAAATGAATAATATTAGATTTGCTAGAAGAAACCTCTCATAAATCAATTAAAGCAGCTGAATCTACTAATAAATCGATCTCTATAAAATTTACATTAAGAATAGAGAAAATAATATTTAATAAACAACTTATTAAATCACATTACTAGCTCATTGTGAGGCTAAGCCCACCCCCTCTTCCTTAGTGTAGATAATATCGTTTGTTTAAAAAAAAAAAAAGGAAAAAAAAAAAAGACAATCATTTGACAACTAATTTAATCACATTATTATCCGCGTGCGAAAGACCTTTTTTATAACCGGCATAATGACATACCCCGCCGATGAAGGTCGAAGCATGATGGCCATCACTGTGAGATGACGTAACCATAAGGGTAAGTGATGTGAAATGGTGAATAAATTAAAACTAAATTAGAACTGATTTAAATTAAACGGTGAAAGAGTATGCAGTCGTGGGAAAAACCTACTACAATTATTTAGAGCATAATAGACAGTACGACTACAGTAAGGTAGTCAAAATAGCTAAAGTACACTTATTACACAACAATGGATGAGTTCATACTTCTAAACAGAGATAACATCAAAACTGCCGGAGGTTCCTCGAAGGCCACAAAAAGTACATCTATCTAGGTCTTGGAGGGGTGAAAGACAAAGTTGAGTCGCCCAGCAAAAAAATGTTTGTAAGAAAACCTTTATATTCGAATATGGTAACCCCTCGCTGTAAAACAAGTATAGTTTCCTTAAAACATACTGAGTAAGTATGTAAACAACAGTACAACAACAATAGCTATAAATATGCCAAGTCATGATATATCAAATGCCGCAATAATATAATTATGTGATAAACAAGTATAACTAAGTGCTTATCCATCTAAGCTGACACACGAGTTCGTACATAAAATTTCTGACACCAACAAGACTGGGTACAATTAGTAAAGGACTGTCTCTGGCCCTGGGGCAGAGTACTAACACTATGATGCAGCAAGATGAGCATATACAAATATGTATGAATGTCATGATAGTAATATCCCAACCATATAGCAGCATTTATCACAATAACGATATTTGGCAATATAAGCGTAAAAAATAAGGTAAATACGGATTCATGGAAACTATAATTATATATAGGTATAAAAACAAACTGCTCACTCACAAATATGTCGTCGGATCGTAGCCCCCGAGCCTTGCCTAACCCCTCAAGTCCTCGAGATATGTTTCCCCTATATTCAAAATAACTATTTTTAAATTAATTAAAACACGTATACGAAAACTTAAATAAAACCCTCATAGTTTGCTCAAACCTAGGGTTTAATTATATGAAATTGATCTACTCAACGTCACGGACCTACACAAATTTACAGAAAGCAAATCGAAGGCTGGACGCGCCCTTACGCGCCATCTAAGGCACGGCCATATGCGCCACCACGCGTAGGCAGAAGTTGATGGAGGTCTGACGACCGTTAGAAATATTTCATTAAATCATTAACAGAGATTAACAGCATTACCTGATGCAGTTAGAATATTCCATCAGAGTTGATGGAATATTCCGTCGTCTTCTCCGGTGGTCCTCGCCGGTCGCTGCCGTCTGAACTTGCTGAAAACTGGAAAATTTTCAAACCTTCATATCTTCTTCATTTCTCAACCATTTTTCACAAATTTTATATGGAAATGAAGCTTATGAAGTGTAGAATCACGTTATACCTTCCAAAAGTCCAAAAAGTGGATGGAGGTGGACTAAAAAGGGCTTGAAATATCTGGCCAAAACTGGGCTCGTCGAAACTCGGTTGTTTAGACGTCAAAGCTTCTTCAAAATTGTCCTAGGAGCATCTGGGAGTTGTGAGAGAGCTTCCCCGAGTCCTAAAACGCCATGACTCGGTCGAAAACACATCGATCTAAAACTGGTCCGATTCGGACCTTCCGAGTTTGCGAGTCAAAACTCGTACGTTTTGAGTTTGGTTGGTATGGTTGTGTTCGTGGAGTGGAGATGAACACAATGGTGTGATTTTTGGGCTCGATCTACAAACTTTGGTGCTCATTCATGGCGATTACAGAGAAGGAGAGACTTTGGGAGGGACACAGAGAGAATGCTTTTCTCTTCTTTTTTTCTTCTTCTGATTAGGTGCAGGGAAGTGGGAAGAGATGTGATTGGTGAGAGTGAAAATGGGAAAGTTTGGTTGGTGAATGACAAAGGAAGGCATGTGTTGGGTTAAAAAGAAAATATGGGGGTTTTTTAGATTTCCTACAGTAAAAGGAATCAGAAAATCTATCCAGCACAGTGGTTCTAACACTGATAATTTAATACACACGTGTGTACAAATCTACTTGTTATCCTCATACTTTGATGGAGCATAACTTTAACATTACAAGTCCGATTCGAGTCTAACACGCGCTCATGCGTTCGTAGTGACGAGTACAATTTAATTACGATAGCGAGAAAAATAATTTAAGAACAAATAAACACATCCACGTCACTTGCCAACAAGGGCATTAATGTCAATTCACATACTCGGGGAGAAATTACATAGAAAATTAGGGACGGGTCGTCACACATTGCACGCCTCTTAAGATGTTTTGAACGTGTTTAAAAATAGAAAAAATAATATTGAATGAACTGCTGATTGAATTACATTATTGTTAGCCTATTATGAGGTACTAATTAAAAAAAATTACAAAAAATTAATTATTAAAAAAAGCACTGTTAAAATGACAAAAATACCGTTGCATTATTTTGAGATGCCTTTGAAGTTTTTTTATTTTTGAGGCATTTTTGTCCAAATATTTTTGTCGAAGCTTGGTGACACCAAAAACACTATTCATCTTTTGCGTTGGCTTTATATATAAATTAATGACTCATATAATAATTTGTTTGCTCTCTCTACACTCGAGTTCGAATTTCTCTTTCGCAATTGTAACAATTTTGTAAAATATTTTATAAATGAAAGAGTCAGTGTGTTTGTCCTCTATGAAGGACATCCGATAAAATTGGATGATTAAAAAAAGATTAGCATGACCTCTCCACAAGAATGACAAGCATAAAACGAAAGATTGTCCAATTTTTTTTGTGAATAAGAATTTGTTCACTATATGAGATTTTTGTTCATCAAATTTATGCGACCGACACTTTTAAGATTAGAATCGCTCGCACAAGGTGACTGGATTTAACATAATTCTACATTTTCTAATGTGATTCTTAACAAAATTTCAGAAAATTCACTTAGGCAAAGATGATCATCCGGTGAAGCAGCTACAAAACAGAAAACTATAAGACATGAATTTTGGCTTCTCCAAAAAGCAGAAATTGAAGGGAGAAAAAGGAACACCCATCAAAACCTCTATCCCGTTCATCATAAAAAAAAAAAAAAATATCCCTCAGTGCCAGTCGGTGTGCCTACACGTAGGTGGTTTACGACGTGTCGTTTCCCAGCAAACTAAGACGCGGCACGCCGTCTGTGTTGCAATCCCCACCTTCTTAATTTGCGCGTCGAAACGTCCCCTATTTTTTCCACAATATACCCCAGAAATATAACTATAAGACCCACCAGATTCTGCCAAAACCCATCAATTTCAATCCTCATTCGCAGCAAATTTCGAAAACCCAGAAAAACCCACTAGCAAAGTCGAATCAATATCCTGTTTTCCAACAAACAATACAAAATCATGATGAAAGTTCCGATTTTTGCCCTTGTGATCTGCCTCCTCTTCGTCGCGTCGAATGGGTACGGCGGCATGCTCGGGGGAAGGAAGGAGATCGAGAACGTGAAGACGAACAAGGAGGTTCAAGAGTTGGGGAGGTTTTCGGTAGAGGAGTACAACAGGCAGAGGGGTACCCAGAAGATGGACGGCGGCGGAGAGCTTCAGTTCTTGGAGGTGGTGGAGGCGCAGAGCCAGGTGGTTTCCGGGCTCAAGTACTACCTCAAGGTGTCGGCGGTGAGGAATGGGGTCCACATGTTGTTCGATTCGGAGGTGGTGGTGAAGCCGTGGCTCCGTTCCAAGCAATTGCTCAACTTTGCCCCTCACGGTCGCAAATGATTGATTCGAATTTGGATTCAAAATGCTTGATCTCGAATCTGTGTTTTGTTTCTGGGTTTTTGTTTTGTTATTTGTGTTGGGAATCTGGGTTGTGTAAAATATGGAATGTGTTCATGCAGTTGTATCAATAAATGGGGTCCGCTGTGAATCCGTGAACCGCTTTCTTTGCAAGTTTTCGTGTTTTTCGAAACGTCACGTAACTGTGAATCCGTGAATCCGCATTCTCGGCAGGTTTTTATCTAAGTTCAACGTGTAAGAAACTGTGCACCATGCAAGCCAGAGAAGGACCTCTCACCGCCTCAGCCTTCGCCAAACTCAAAGCACATGCTCCACCCGGACCACCTCTCCAGGCTCCAGCCACAGACCATGATTGACCTCCACCTTCCTAAATTCAATTACTTAACTGAAAAGGCAAAGGCAAAAGCGAGTAGAACCCGTACTTCAACTTCTTGACGGATGTATCCAATATGGAGGCAGATTGTCTGCCCTCCTGTCCTTCCCGGCCTGCTGTCGTCAACGGTCCGCTTCCTTGAGGTACCGTTTGGTACGTGGGACGGGACGGAACAGAGTAGGACGAGGCGTTCCGTCCCACGTTTGGTGCGCCTTAAACGGGTGGAACGAGCTGTTCCACGGGACGAGTTTTGGATGAATTTTCGTTCCACCTCACCCCCCTGGAACGACTCGTTCCACATCCGTGGAACACAAAATTATAACCTCTCCGTCTCCTTCTTCTTCCTCCTTGTTTCCATCCGAGGGCATCTTTGCTCCCGCTTCGTTCCGTTCCGTCTTGTCCCGTCCCGTCCCGTCCCATCCCATTCCGTCCCGTCCCGTCCCGTCTGCATACCAAACGATACCTGAATGAAAGTTGGTCTTCCCGATCCACGAATACTGCCCCGTTGTCCTTTACTTGTTTAGTGACTTCTGTCTGAGGACATCCGGAATTGTCTGTTTCGGTATTAATGCTCTTTCCATCATTTTTTTTATTTATGCGGTCATGTTTAAGCCACGTTAATATTTTATATTAATTTTTTTATAAAAATAATAAAACAAAAAGTAATAGGAATATAAAATGTTAACGTGAATTAATCGTAACCACACAAAATAGGAGGAGATAAGAAGTGCATACAATTTGCCTCCATCCAATATGATGGTAATTGAAAATGAAATGTTAGAGATGGTCAAATGTAGTACAAAATATAAATGTTTCTATAATATTTAAGATATATTGACAATATCTGTCAATTCTAATTTAAACATAAAAAGTTTTTATTTTTATTTTTTAAAAGGGATAATTGATGAAAAGTTATGGTTATCCATCATTTCGAAGGTTGAGAAAATTCATAGAGTTTAAACGTTAGCTCATTTTTATATTTTTATCTGATAACTACTGTATCCACATACTCACCATCGTAAAATGTATATTATAACCAAACATGAATCGGTATTTTCCTATCAAACACGTTTTAAAGGTTTTTTTTTTTTTTTTTTTTTTGGCTTAAAATCATTCTCAAATTAAACCAGTGCACACATTTATAAAAATATGAATCTCTACTCAGGAAAAATATTTTATAAAATTCGCACAATAACATTTTAAAAGTCATAAAACTATGTTGTTTGTAAGTTACCGAACGGTTCGAAATTGTCGGGTGGTATTTGTGCAATTTTTCAAGAAAAACACAAGAAGGAAAAAGGAAAAATAAAATAAAATAAAAATAGCCACCTAAAAGGACGAAAATATCCTTCAGGCTCGTATAATCTCCCTAGGGTTTTTGACAGCCACCCTCTTTAACAGAAGAAGGTTTCAGGGTTTTACTTTAGCCGAAGCGCGGAGGAGAAGGAGGAGGTGGTCTCGCCGAAGCTCTCACTCCGGAACCATGGGTACCACTCAGACCCTCTCTCTCTCTCTCTCTCTCTCTCTTCCTCTCACTCTCTCTGTATGTGTGTCACTGGTTTTGTATATGTGATAATATGCAGGTATCTCACGTGACTCGATGCACAAGCGCCGTGCTACTGGAGGCAAGAAGAAGGCATGGAGGAAGAAGAGAAAGTAATGCTTTCTACCTTCAACCCCATTTCTCTCTCTGCTTTACTCTTTGATTGCTTGTTAATTTTCCTTCATTTTCTATTATTTTCCCTCTGTAATATTTTTTTATTGATTTGTTATGTTGTAATTAGGCGACAGATCTGTTATTAATCGTAAATTATTTCTGGGTTTTTCGTTGTGGTCTCCGATTTTTTGTGAGTATGTTGGTGCCCGCATTGCATTGCTCGGCCAATTACTGGGTTCTATGTGGTAATTATGATTAGTGCTTGTCTTAGAGAATGTGATTTGTATCTTAACTTCTAGATATTTTTAATTGAAGTCTCGCTCATTTTTTTATTCGAATTTGTTTACGCTGAAACACCGTGTTTCATTTGTATCTTAACTTCTAGATATTTTTAATTGAAGCCTCGCTCATTTTTTTATTCGAATTTGTTTACGCTGAAACACCGTGTTTCATCTGTTTTGATTTTTCGGGTTGGTATGCTTTTGTGAGGTTTAAAATTTTGCTACATGGCTCTATCTATTTCGTGGTATCTAGGTTTTACAATTTGGGCGCATAAAACTTCAAAAGAATCTTAATTTTAATATGTCGATTCTGCCGTTGAAGAATTTTGGAGTTTGTTAGTCCTGTTAAACATTCTCATTTGTTTGCTTAGTCGAAGCAGTGATATCGCTAGAAAGAATGTGAAATGAAACGTCACAGGTTTTCCTTTGGGCTTCCCAGGAAGAGAATAGAATAGGATAGAACCAGCGTAGATCTTGAATCCCATTGGTACTGTGCATGTGGCATTGCCTAGAATGGGGAATTAAGAGGGAATTTAACCATCTAGGATTTTTGAGGAATAAAAATGTTGATTTTGCTTGAAAGATGGACAATTGTAAGGTTATGAATTTTTAATTGTTTCTCATTCTTTGGACTTAACCAGGTATGAGCTCGGCCGTCAGCCTGCAAATACTAAGCTCTCCAGCAACAAGACTGTAAGGAGAATCCGTGTGCGAGGAGGCAATGTCAAATGGAGAGCTCTCAGGTTGGATACTGGGAACTTCTCGTGGGGCAGTGAAGCCGTTACTCGCAAAACCCGTCTCCTGGATGTTGTATACAATGCGTCAAACAATGAGCTTGTTAGAACACAAACTCTGGTGAAAAGCGCCATTGTGCAGGTGGATGCAGCTCCATTTAAGCAATGGTACCTCCAGCATTATGGAGTTGAAATTGGTAGAAGAAGAAGTCTGCTGTTGCTAAGAAGGATACCCCAGAGGTAAGCTTTTTGTGAATTCAGACACCTTTTGTTTGCTACATTGGGCGCGATAATTTATTGACCCTCTACTTACTTACATATCATCATTGTCAATGTAGAACAACCTGGCTTGAAAATTAGTATTCACTTCTGAATGGTTGCACGGACTTGTAACTGCACATAGTTGTTGAATTGCATTGTGAGGGTAGTGAGGTTAGCTTTGAGAGAAGCATTGATAAGTGATGTCAAATCTCACTGTCCTATTTGGTTATAATAAAAACACAAATGATGTCGGTATGTATTGTTAGGGCCCATCAAGGTTTTTTCAGTAACTTATAGGCGACGGTGTGTATGTGCATGGTTTGTGAAATAAGGATAAGTGGTTTCGTATAGGCTTTCATGTTATCACCCTGTCCGTTGCAGTTCCTACTTTGTATTTGTTAGTGGATGGTAATTTTATATCATTATCACACTAACTAGTTCTATGTTTATATGTACAAGCAGGAAGGAGAAGGAACTACAGAGGAAGCAAAGAAGAGTAATCATGTTGCCAGGAAACTTGAGAAACGTCAGCAAGGTCGCACTCTAGACCCCCATATTGAAGAGCAGTTTGGAGGTGGGAGATTGCTGGCTTGCATATCTTCCCGTCCAGGCCAATGTGGCAGATGTGATGGGTGAGTCTAAAAACTCGTGTTACTATTCTCTTGAGTTGTATTCCTTTGTTTGCATCATCTTATTTTGTCTTGCATACTTTTCGTCAGGTACATCTTGGAGGGTAAGGAACTTGAGTTTTACATGAAGAAGCTCCAGAGGAAGAAGGGAAAGGTGCTGGCGCTGCTGCATAAACAGTTTGTTGACAAGGCTCTTTCTTTTTTGGCTTTCGATGAGATCCGTTTTAGTTGGAACCTTTTTCATCTGTCTAGGACATATATGTTGGTTCCCTGTGTGCTAATGCAAATCTTTCGAGTTTTGCTTGGCATATCCGGTATTTCAAGATTTTGACAATTTTTTATACCTATTACTAGTCATTTAGTATTTTTATGGCGCGAGCCGAAGCAAACTGGTGTAGTGAATGTTGAGTTTGGTGGATCTGGATACAATTCAATCCGGAGTTTTATGAACTCTAAATCTTGGTGTTCGAGCGCTGTTTGATCTAACCCTATTGCAGAAAATTAGGTTACTTTAGCATTGAAATTTTGTTGATCAACGATGGTGTGCTGAGTTTATTGTGTTTCTTCGATATACTAGGTTTACAGGAACTTTAACGAAAAACTTTCGGTGCTGTTCACTTTAACGAAAAATTACATTTTTACATTAAAAAGTCAATCCTGGTATTATTCATTTTATCATTTATTTTGTCCTTATTGTTAAAATTCAAAGTGTTCAAGCATTTTCATTAATTTTCCTTAGTTTTTCTATTTCTTTCGTTGATGCTTGTTTGCAGAGTATGTGAACTAAGAAAGCAGTTTCTGCAATGCATGCAGTTTCTTTAGACGATGCCATTCTGGTAAATGACCTACCATGTGAATTTTTACATGAATTAATTCGTCGTTACAGTGATGGTTCAAACAAGCAGGCCACAATTTTTCTCACCACTGGCGAGTGATTACTTTTTAACTGGCAATTTTTTTTTCTTTCTTTCAATAAAACGATATTGGAGGGTTCATGATTAAATCGTACAATGAGTTAATTATAATTTAATAGGCCACGGTTTTAAGGTTCGACATCCTAAAACCGAGTTAATCTCACTTTATCTTTTGATTTGCCTCACTTTTGTGTTCATGTTGGCAAAGATTTAACAATTTTAGAGGTTTGCGGCAGTTTGAAAATTTCTTACCTCACCAAACAAAGGCTCATTACTATCAGCAAGACATGAAATGTCTCGACTACCATTTCATTCGACGTTCATAATGAAAATGGGATGAAATGACTCGATTTTGTTGTTTTATAGGCAAAATGAGACAAATTCAATTTAAAAATATAAATTAAGACGAAAAAATAATTTTAGTGGGAAAATAAATCAAATAGCAAATTTGAAATCGAAATTGAGAATTCTCACGGACAAACAAAAGCAGGATAGTACCATTAGAGCCAAATAGTAAGAGACAATTTTGAGGCAAATCTCTCGCCAATATTGGTATTACCATCGGGATTCGGGTGGTGACTTGTTCTTTTTTGGATTGATCGGGTTGATTTGAGATTGTTGTGCTTTTTAAAAAAGTAGTTTAATAAAAAATTGAAACATTAAATGTAAATTTGGTAAAACAAAAAAAAAAGCTTTTTTTTTTAAAGAAAAAAAAACTGCTGTCATTAACAATATAAAAGGATAAAAAAGTAGAAGCATAGTCTACCTTACTTTTTTTTAAAAATGTCTTTTTCTATGACCGTTTAATGAAAGAATGGTGATAAACCAACCTCAATGTCTTATTACTTTACCCCATTTTTTAATAAAAAATTTAGTATTAATTTTACCCTTTTATAAAATGACATCAAAAACCAGCACAAAAAAGAAAAAAAAAAAAAAATCTCTCTGCTCATCATCCCTTCAGTTGAATTGAGAGATGTAGGGTCGGATTATCTTGAAAAATGTGCCCTCAATTATGGAGAACGTGAATTTGATAATTGAACCAACTTTATTGGAAAGGACCCAATAGAGCATATTCTCAAAATTTCGTTATCATGCTCCATTTTCAAACTTGGAAAAAATTGAAACAAAAAAGACAAGAGGAGTGAGAAAATCCGCTTTGGCTCGTCTCTAATCACGCTAGTGGTCCTTTTCTTCCCTCCCCTTTATTCTCTCCCTGGACTTCTCTCTACCTTTATGTCACTTCTTTCTTCCTCAATCTATAACACCATCATTTCATTTCTGTTCATGTCCTCTCTCTCAAATTTCACACTCGTTTTCGAAGGTGTTTAATCATTTAATTTCAGTATTTTTGCAAGTGCAAGCAGAGGAGGAAGGGATATATTATAGCATATATATTAAAGGTTATTTTAGAAAGGCCTAATCAGTTAAACGGTTCCTGTGGTGATAAGGTAATCGGAAAGTAGCCATATGGTAAAAAAATTAGGATTTAAACCCTCGTGATGTAGTCCTTTAGCAAATTTAGTTCAAAAGTAATTTTTCATTAAATGCTCGTTAAATACAAGGGTAAAAACGTGTTTTGATATATGCACCTTCTTCTTCAATGTTCAATGTCTGCTCTCTCTAATAGTGTGAAAATTTGGGGAATCTGAGTCGTTGAGAAGGTGGCTAAGATGAATTTGAGCCCCGCCCACCCAATTGCTGTTCTAGACTGAGGTTGCCCACCTTTGTTGTATATTTATGTATCCAGGTGGGAACAGAGCTCACTGAGACAGTCGTCACTCGGACTGGGAGAGGAGCCGGGGCGCTGGAGAGTAATTGAGAAATTAAAGTAGCATCAAGTCTTCAACTTAACCACCACCGCCAGTGAAGAAGAAAGGACACATTGATTTGATTTGATACCAAAAGTCCCTCTGGAGTTCTCTTTAAACCACTCCCGCCCTCCCCCAAAACTCCCCATTTTCCACCCACGACATCTCTCTCTCTCTCTCTCTCTCTCTCTCTCTCTCTCTCTCTCTCTCTCTATATATATATATCTGTTTTGTTCAAAATAAAAACTAAGGAAAATGACTTGAAAATTTTGAGTTTCAATGATAAAGACAAAATAAAGGGTAAAGTGAATAATACCAAAATTAACTTTTTAGTGTAAAAATATGATTTTTCGTTAAAACTCCCTCGTTAAAATCCCAATTGTTGTTGTAAAAGATTAATGTGAGGTTTAGTTTAGTTTAATTTTTTTAGCATTATCAAATGAATTATTAGTGTTTCGAGATTGCATTGCGGTTTAATCCATGAATTTTTGGGTTGATTTGTTAGTCCCCTTCATCTGTTATGTGCATTGGTTGTACTTGTTTTACAAAAAGAGTAGAGTGGTTCTACTTGTTTTACAAAAAGAGTAGAGAGACGAGGAAGGAGATAAGGAAGAAGAAGGCACACGTCAATGTACATTTTTACCCTTGTATATAACAGATATTTAATGGAAAAATTACTTTTGGACTAAATTTGCTAACGGATTACACCACGAGGGTTTAAATCCTAACTTTTTTTACCACGGGGGCTACTTTCCGATTACCTTATCATCACGGGGATCGTTTATCCGGTTAGGCCTTTTAGAAATAATAGTGGGTAGAAAAATAACATTTTTGTTATAAATAGGCAAACATTAGAGAGATAACCTTTGCTAAGGACATGAGCGAAGCGAGTGCAAAATATTACACTGTAACTTTAGTAGCTATAACACAAAACGATGGTAGATAAAGACAGGGAGGGAGAGATACTAATATGATTTCTCCAGTTCTTTCTTTCATAGTGTGTATTTTGATAACACACGGAGTACTCTATTTATAGAGGCACATCCGTGATATACAAATGAGGGAAATCATTGCTCCTTTTGACAATATCATACCTCCACTATTAATTCACTATTCTAAAGTCTTCTCATCTTTTGCCAAATGCATGTGGGCATTCATCCCACTAATTTTACAACAATTTTAATTTTTTCTTCTTTTTGAGGTGGGTGAGATTATAATGTGGGTGGAAAGATAGGATATTGTGGTGGATTTAGTAACACTCTTAATGAAATTTTCAAATAGCAAGTGTAACCCCGCATATTTTACAAAATTACAATCTTCGTCCTTATATTATTCTCTTCGGCAATTTTTTTTTAATACATCGATATTTTTATACGAAATGGATGGGGAGTTCGGTTAAGCCACACATTGGGCAGCCCAACATGTTCATAGCAATTTTATATAAAAGTTTACCAAACACTCAGACATTCTTTAACAAAAAAAAGTTTACCAAACATTCAACAACTTTATTTTACCATTGTTTATTCTCACAGCGCATAAATAGCTTTATTTATTTGTTTATTTAAAGTACATCAATATCAATGACGAATTTGAATCACATTATTGCGAACTTATTGTGAGACGGTCATGCCAAAACATGTAAACCTTTGAATCAATGAACTTTTGGTTTATGACAGTATGTGATTTAATTGTCTTTATGTATGTATAATACAATTCACTCGACAAACCACACAACTTCTCCAATATATGCTTTTGGGTATCATTGGAGGCAATGCATAGATACTCCACATTTTCTACACTTTTCGTTTCAATGTGGTATCTATCTAAACATATGTCTTTTAAACTCAACAAATTTCAACTAGATTGAGTAGTGTACAACGCATTTTGTATGGACAATATTGTTCCATTTGGTAACATGATATGGGCTTTTCCTGAGCCTTCAATTATATCTGATTGGTTTGATATTGTTGTTACCCTTACTTTAGTAAGCATGAAGCTTGAAAAATACTTTCGATCTCGAAATATTGTATGTGTGGTTGCACTGTCTGCAAGACAAATATCTCTGTCATTTCTCTTGTTTTGAGAATAACCATAGTTTTTATCCATGTTGTTTGAGTAAAGGGGATCATGGTTAAAAACAATTTATTGATAATAAAAGGAAATCGAAATACCACTTTTATTGAATTGAAATGCGAGTTTTAAACTACAAGTTCAGAATAATAAAGTACATCAAACATAAATGATTCAATTGGACCGATACACTTCATTCAGTCTTTCCACAATGAAGTCTGAGACATCTAGGTGGATCATGTTCAACTGGCCTGACAAGTCAAACATTGGATTAGTTATATCCATTGGTCTAGCCTGGTTGAGGAAATTGGTCTCGACACCATTCTTCTTGAGGGAGGCTTGATATAAATCTACCAGATGTTTCAGGGTACGACAGGTACACATTTAGTGCCCATTACCATCACACCTATGGTAGGCTCCTTCAGAGTTTCTAGGAGCATTGTTCATATAAGCTTTGCCGTTGTGGCGATTTACATTTTTGAAGTTCGGACCTGAATTATGCCTTGGAACCTGGTTATGAAACCGGACGTCATGATTCTTGCATTTCCCGTTCTACCAGCCTCCTTTGTGGCCACATCCTCGTTTATGATTATTGCCACTAGAGGATGTTGCATTCACTTCGAGGGAAGCAGCATTCACTTCTGGGAATGGTGAAGATCTAGTAGGTCGGGACTGATGATTTTTCATCAAGAGCTCATTGTTTTGTTCTGCTACCAGGAGCATATATATCAGCTGGTTGTATTCATTGAAAGCTTCATTCTCTATATTGTTGCTGCATGAGCACGTTAGAGGCATGAAAGGTGCTGAAAGTCTTTTCCAGCACATCTTCCTCATTGATGGTTTCCCCACAGAGCTTCATCTGGGAGCTAATTCTGAACATCACAGAATTGTACTCAACCATTGACTTGAAATCCTGGATCTTTAGGTGAGTTCACTCATAACGAGCCATTGGAAGAATCACCGTTTTTTGGTGATTGTATTTGTTTCTCAATGCCTTCCAGAGAGCTATTCAACCTTTAGGTACTCGCTTTTTAGTCCTTCATCAAGGTGGTTACGGATAAAAATCATGGCCTTCGCCCGATCTTGAGAGAATGCACTGTTTTCTTCCCTAATGGTTTCTCCAAGATTCCCTGCCTCTAGATGGATCTTGGTATCTACTACCAAGGTAAGGTAGTTCTTCCCAGTAATATCCAGGGCAACAAAATCAAGTTTTGCCAAGTTTGCCATTTTCTTTTTTGAAAGAAAAAAAAGATGTGTAAGAACTTGCAATAATATGTATTTCTGGAGGACTATAGTGTTAGAACTTCTGGTTCTTACAAATTTTCATTTTGATTTTTAGGCCAAAATGATAAGTACTCGAAACTTTAGGCTCGAGATTTACATGATTAATGAGGAGGGCAATTGTACCGCACCATTCTCATTGAAACAAGCATAGGATGAGCGATTATTCCGCGCCACTCAAATAGCAGGAAATTTAAATATGTAGAGCAGGATGTGCGATTATACCGCACCACCTAAAATTGCAATAAAATTAAATCTACAGCTCAAGATGGGCGATTGTACCGCACCATCTTTGATCGCAGTAAAATTAACATAAATAAATACTGGGTTAGTAATCAAGAACCACACCAAACAATAAATCAAACATATAAGTAATTGTTAAATTGAGAACGAGAAGCAGGCATGGTGCCAGCAATTCTCCGCGAGGGTACATCATGTGGGTGAGGCAGATGAGGAAGAAGAATAGGAAAATCCTTGGAGGAAGCATTTTTTTTCGGTGAAGGGAGATGAGAGCTAGTTAAGGTTAGAAAGTCGTGCTGATAACGTGTTATAAATAAGCAAAAGTTAGAGAGATAACCTTTGTTAAAGACATGAGCGAAACGGATACAAAATATCACACTGTAACTTTACTAGCTATAACATAAAAGGATGGCAGATAAAGAAAGATAGAGTGAGAGATACTGATATTATTTCTTTAGTTCTTTTTTTCGCAGTGTGGATTTTGATAACACACGGAGTGCTCTATTTATAGAGCCACATCCGCGATATACAAATGAGGGAAATCATTGCTCATTTTGACAATATCACACCTCCACTATTAATTCACTATTCTAAAGTCTTCTTATCTTTTGCCAAATGCATGTGGCATTCATCCCACTAATTTTACAATAACTTTAATTTTTTCACCTTTTTGAGATGAATGAGATTATAATGTGGGTGAAAATATAAGACGTGGGGTGGGTCTAGTAACACTCTTAATGAAATTTTCAAATAGCAAGTGTAACCCTGCATGTTTTACAAAATTACAATCTTTGTCCTTATATTATTCTCTTTGGCAATTTTTTTTTAATACATCGATATTTTTATACGAAGGAGATGGAGAGTTCGGTTAAGTCACACAGTGGGCAGCCTAACATATTCATAGCAACTTTATATAAAAGTTTACCAAACATTTGGACATTCTTTAACAAAAAAAAAGTTTACCTCAACAACTTTATTTTACCGTTGTTTATTCTCGCATAAATAGGTTTTTTATTTATTTTAAATACAACAATACCAAAGATGAATTTGAATTAATTTATTACTAACTTATTATGAGACTAAGTGAATTGCTATCCCTCCCTTGTAAATAATATGGTATGTTCCGAGACAAAAAAAAGTACAGCCCATCATCTTCTGACTCACTACCACAATTGCCACATTTTTTTTCTTCCCTCTACATCTCATCATTTTCCACTAGGCTCGTTGACGTGCACCCCTCTGTTCATCGCCGATCATTCTACGTCAATGGCTTCTTCTTCTTTTTGTTCCGAGTCGTCGTCTTCCTCCGGCCGTCGTAGTTGGAAATACGACGTTTTCCTCAACTTCAGAGGCGAAGACACTCGCAGGTCCTTCGTCTGCCATCTCTACAGAGCTCTGGACCAGAAAGCCATCCACACTTTCATCGACGCCGAAGAGCTCCGAAAAGGCAACCACCTCTCCGACCTACTCACAGCCATTCAAAACTCCAGGGTCTCGATCGTAGTTTTCTCTCCAAACTATGCTTCTTCCACCTGGTGCCTCAAAGAACTCGTCCAAATTCTGGAATGTATGGACTCGGACGGCCAGACTGTGGTGCCCGTCTTCTACGATGTCGATCCGTCTGACGTCCGCAAGCGCAAGAGGAGTTTTGCGGAGGCGTTTGCGAGACACGAACTCGACTCCGCGGCTGAGATGGCGGAGGTGCGGAGATGGAAGTCAGCTCTTACAAAAGCCTGCAATATATCGGGCTGGGATTCGCGAAATTACGAGTAATTCTACTTTGTTCATAATCTAATTATATTTTTGGTTCTTGTTTTCGAATTTCTTGTATGCCAATTTTACTTTCGATTCGCAAAATTACAAGTAATTCTACTTTGTTCATAATCTAATTATAGTTTTGGTACCTGTTTTCAGATTTCTTATATGCAAATTTTACTTTCGATTCGCGAAATTAGATGTAATTCTACTTTGTTCATAGCTAATTGTAGTTTTGGCTCCTGTTTTCGTATTTCTTATTTGCAAATTTTACTTCCGATTCCCTAAATTACAATTAATTCTACTTTGTTCATAATCTAATTATAGTTTTGGATCCTGTTTCCGGATTTCTTGTATGCTCTTTGTTCATAGTCTAATTATAGTGTTGGTTCCTGTTTTCGGATTTCTTGTATGCAAATTTTACTTCCGATTCCCGAAATTCCAGTTAATTCTACTTTGTTCATAGTCTAATTATAGTTTTGTTTCCTGCTTTAAGATTTCTTTTGTGCAAATTGTACTTTCGATTTGTGAAATTACAAGTAATTCTAATTTGTTCATATTCTGATTAGTTTGGTTTCCTAATTTGGGATTTCTTGGATGCAAATACTTTGGATTCGTGAAATTATAAGTAATTTTACTTTGTTCAGTCTTAAACTCTTAATTGGTGTTGGTATTACAGTATTATTGTTTACTATCAAATGCAGTAAGACTTGCTTTGATTCTTTACAGACGAAATGCTGAACTTTTATTTATTTATTCTTAATTTCACAGGGATGATGCAAGGCTTATTGCAGAAATTGTACAAGATATCTTTGATAAATTGACCCATATGTCGTCAAGTGAAGGCGAGGGCTTGGTTGGAATGGATTCCCAGCTAGATGAAATGAATTTGCAATTATGCCTTGGCACGGAGGATGTTCGCTTTGTTGGAATATGGGGTATGGGTGGAATAGGCAAAACAACCATTGCCAAAGCTGTTTATGATAAAATTGCTTGTCAATTTGAAGCTTACTGCTTTCTTGAAAATGTCAAGGAAGGTTTCTCCAGGCATGGTGCAATACATATGCAGGAAGAGCTTTTATCCAGAATCTTGAAGGAAAGGGTGCCAAGTTTAGGAACTTTGGACAAAGGTTCCAAGATGATAAGGGAAAGACTAGCTAAGAAAAAAGTTTTCCTTGTTCTTGATGACGTGGACAATATAGACCAAATTGAAGGCTTACTTGGAAAGCAACGTTCATTTGGCTGCGGAAGTAGAATTATTATAACAACACGAGATGAGCAATTACTAAGACTAAGCAGAGTTGATGCAATATATAGGCCCAAGTTTTTAAGTGACAATGAAGCTCGTGACCTCTTTATGCAATATGCCTTCAGAACAAACCAACCCACAAGTGACTACAATCATCTCACATGCCATGCTATAGAATATGCTAAAGGTTTGCCTTTAGCGCTCAAAGTCTTGGGAGGTTTTCTTGATAACAAAAGTGTACGCGAGTGGGAAGATGTGTTAGAGAAGATAAGGAAAATCCCACACATGGGAATTCAGGATGTGCTTAGAACGAGTTTTTATGGGCTGGACGATTCAGAGAAGGACATTTTTTTGGACATTGCTTGTTTCTTTAAAGGAATGAAAAAAGATCGTGCAACAAATATCCTGGAAGGTTGTGGCTTCTATCCTCATAGTGGATTAAGAGTTCTAATTAATAGATCTCTCATAACAATCTCAGATTATGGCACACTCGAGATGCATGATTTACTAGAAGAAATGGGTTGGGAAATTGTCCGCCAAGAATCTATTAAAGAGCCCGGGAGACGCAGTAGGCTGTGGAGTTATGAAGATGTTCATCCCGTGTTCACTCAAAATACAGTAAGATATAATCATCAATACTGTCCTTTTCATATGCAACTAGTGTAGAAATATGTATTTATTTTATATACATAATCAAGGTTATGGGTATTTGCACTTACTTAAATTCCCCCATTCTCTATCCAGGCTACAGAAGCTATTGAGAGCATAGTCCTGGACTTGTCAAACAAATCAGAAGAAGTATACTTAAATGCTGAAGCTTTTGTTGGAATGACGAGGCTAAGACTGCTCCGTATCCAATATCATAACCCCTCTAGACGTGTTTTCATACGATGCCCGAGTAGAGACTTTCCTTCTCATAAACAACGCCTGAGTGGAGACTTTCCTTCTCATAAACAACACCTGAGTGGAGACTTCAAGTATCTTTCTCATGAATTGAGGTATCTCGTTTGGCATGGCTGCCCCCTAAAGTCTTTGCCATCCAATTTTAACCCCAACAACCTAGTTGACCTTGACATACAATTTAGTAACATCCAACAACTTTGGGAAGGAACCAAGGTACAATCATCTTTTTCATATTTTTCTTTAAAATTGGCTAATTTCTCATTTGCTTTGTTATGTAATCCATGTTTTCCTGGATATTTGGACAGCATTTGAAAAGCTTGAAGTTCATCAATTTAAACCTCTCTCAATACCTTGAAAGAACCCCCGACTTAACTGAGGCAAAAAATCTGGAGGCATTATACCTTGAAAATTGTAAGAGTTTATTTGAGGTTCATCCATCCATTTCATCTCTTCAAAATCTTCTTGTTTTGAGTCTAAGAGGGTGCAAAAAACTGAGGAAATTTCCAAGCAGCATTGATATGAGATCTCTCAAATCTCTTAATCTTTCTGGCTGCTCAAAATTTGAGAAGTTTCCAGAGATCTCAAACGTCATGAAGGAACTTTCAAAACTTTGTTTAGATGGGACTGCAATTAAAGAACTGCCCTCGTCAATTAAAAATCTTACAGGGCTTGTTACTTTGAACTTAAAAGATTGCATAGAGCTTCAAAGTCTTCCAAGCAGCATTTATATGAGATCTCTCAAATCTCTTAATCTTTCTGGCTGCTCAAAATTTGAGAAGTTTCCAGAGATCTTAGACGTCATGAAGGAACTTTCAGAACTTCATTTAGATGGGACTGCAATTAAAGAACTGCCCTCATCAATTAAAAATCTTACAGGGCTTGTTACTTTGAACTTAAAAAATTGCATAGAGCTTCAAAGTCTTCCAAGCAGCATTTATATGAGATCTCTCAAATCTCTTAATCTTTCTGGCTGCTCAAAATTTGAGAAGTTTCCAGAGATCTTAGACGTCATGAAGGAACTTTCAGAACTTCATTTAGATGGGACTGCAATTAAAGAACTGCCCTCATCAATTAAAAATCTTACAGGGCTTGTTACTTTGAACTTAAAAAATTGCATAGAGCTTCAAAGTCTTCCAAGCAGCATTTATATGAGATTTCTCAAATCTCTTAATCTTTCTGGCTGCTCAAAATTTGAGAAGTTTCCAGAGATCTCAGACGTCATGAAGGAACTTTCAGAACTTCATTTAGATGGGACTGCAATTAAAGAACTGCCCTCATCAATTAAAAATCTTACAGGGCTTGTTACTTTGAACATAAAAGAGTGCATAGAGCTTCAAGGTCTTCCAAGCAGCATCTACCAACTTAAATCCCTAAAAGATGTTACTCTTTGTGGCTGTAAAAGTCTCAAGATGTTTCTAGAGAATTTAGAAGTTTCGAAGAATCTTTCGAAACTTTGTTTGGATGGCATTGCAATTAGAGATTTGCCCTTTTCAATTAAAAATCTTACAGGACTTCATACTTTCAACCTCAGAGGCTGCCTACAACTGAAAAGTCTTCCAAGCAGCATCTGCCAACTCAAGTCCCTTAGATGGTTTTCTCTTTCTGGCTGCTCAAATCTTGAGAAGTTTCCAGAGATTTTAGAAGTTATGGAAGAACTCCGGTTGCTTTGTTTGGATGGGACTGCAATTGAAGAATTGCCATCGTCGATAAATAATCTTACGGGGCTTCGTAGTTTGCGCCTTAAAGGCTGCTTGAAGCTTAAAAGTCTGCCGTGCAGTATCTGTCAACTCAAGTCCCTGAAAGATTTTACTCTTTCTGGCTGCTCAAATCTTGAGAAGTTTCCAGAGATTTTAGAAGTTATGGAAGAACTCCGGTCGCTTTGTTTGGATGAGACTGCAATTGAAGAACTGCCATCGTCGATAAATAATCTTACGGAGCTTCGTAGTTTGAGCCTTAAAGGCTGCCTGAAGCTTAAAAGTCTGCCATGCAGTATCTGTCAACTCAGGTCCCTGAAAAATTTTACTCTTTCTGGCTGCTCAAATCTTGAGAAGTTTCCAGAGATTTTAGAAGTTATGAAAGAACTCCAGTGGCTTTGTTTGGATGGGACTGCAATTGAAGAATTGCCATCGTCGATAAATAATCTTGCGGGGCTTCGTAGTTTGAGCCTTAAAGGCTGCTTGAAGCTTGAAAGTCTGCCGTGCAGTATCTGTCAACTCAGGTCCCTGAAAGATTTTACTCTTTCTGGCTGCTCAAATCTTGAGAAGTTTCCAGAGATTTTAGAAGTTATGGAAGAACTCCGGTCGCTTTGTTTGGATGAGACTGCAATTGAAGAACTGCCATCGTCGATAAATAATCTTACGGAGCTTCGTAGTTTGAGCCTTAAAGGCTGCCTGAAGCTTAAAAGTCTGCCATGCAGTATCTGTCAACTCAGGTTCCTGAAAGATTTTACTCTTTCTGGCTGCTCAAATCTTGAAAAGTTTCCAGAGATTTTAGAAGTTATGGAAGAACTCCGGTCGCTTTGTTTGGATGAGACTGCAATTGAAGAACTACCATCGTCGATAAATAATCTAACGGGGCTTCGTGGTTTGAGCCTTGAAGGCTGCTTGAAGCTTAAAAGTCTGCCATGCAGTATCTGTTTCAAGTCCTTGAAATATTTTACTCTTTCTGGCTGCACAAATCTTGAGAAGTTTCCAGAGATTTTAGAAGTTATGGAAGAACTCCGGTCGCTTTGTTTGGATGAGACTGCAATTGAAGAACTGCCATTGTCAATAAATAATCTTACAGGGCTTCATAGTTTGAGCCTTAAGGGCTGCTTGAAGCTTAAAAGTCTGCCATGCAGTATCTGTCAACTCAAGTCCCTGAAAGATTTTACTCTTTCTGGCTGCTCAAATCTTGAAAAGTTTCCAGAGATTTTAGAAGTTATGGAAGAACTCCAATCGCTTTGTTTGGATGAGACTGCAATTGAAGAACTGCCATCGTCGATAAATAATCTTACGGGGCTTCGTAGTTTGAGCCTTGAAGGCTGCTTGGAGCTTATAAGTCTGCCATGCAGTATTTGTCATCTCAAGTCCCTTGGATGGTTTTCTCTTTCTGGCTCCAAAAATCTTGAGAAGTTCCCAGAGATTTTAGAAGTTATGGGAGAACTCAATTCGCTTTGTTTGGATAAGACTGCAATTGAAGAATTGCCATTGTCGATAAATAATCTTACGGGGCTTTGTAGTTTGAGCCTTGAAGGCTGCTTGAAGCTTAAAAGTCTGCCATGCAGTATCTGTCAACTCAAGTCACTTAGATGGTTTTCTCTTTCTGGCTCCAAAAATCTTGAGAAGTTTCCAGAGATTTTAGAAGTTATGGGAGAACTCAAATGGCTTTGTTTGGATGAGACTGCAATTGAAGAACTACCATCGTCGATAAATAATCTTACGGGGCTTCGTAGTTTGAGCCTTAAATGCTGCTTGAAGCTTAAAAGTCTGCCGTGCAGTATCTGTCAACTCAAGTCCCTGAAAGATTTTACTCTTTCTGGCTGCTCAAATCTTGAGAAGTTTCCAGAGATTTTAGAAGTTATGAAAGAACTCCAGTGGCTTTGTTTGGATGGGACTGCAATTGAAGAACTGCCATCGTCGATAAATAATCTTACGGGGCTTTGGAGTTTGAGCCTTGACGACTGCTTGAAGCTTAAAAGTCTACCATGCAGTATCGATCAACTCAAGTCCCTGATATATATTTTTCGTAGTGACTGCCCAAATCTTGAGACAGAGAACTTACCGAATTGAGGGTTTCAATTGTAATGAATTCAATTCTCTATGTTGTCGGAGCCATTTGAAAACCCACATACTTTTTGAGTCAATATGCTCCCTCGGTTCAAAACTGAGAAAAGATGGGCGGGGGCGGACAGAGAGAGATTATGCGACGATGAGCGGGGGCGGACGAAACGTGAACGGAAACTTAAACGCGGTGTTTTATGCGAAGGCGTATCATCCGATTCAGGCAGGAAGCATAGACGGTACTGACACACTTCCGCACGACAATGCCGTCTACCGAGCCTTCCTCTGCTCCTCCGCCGGCCTCTGTAACCACACATTCTCTCTCTTCTCCTTTTATCCTTTTTCTCTAATCTCCCCACCCTTTGCTTCTACTTCTTTTCTTTCAGCCATGAGCTTTTTACTTATACTTTGTCCCTGTAACTCTTTTGCTTTTGCAGATGACCCCCTGGGCGATCCCCGGCTCCTCGGCGACCCTCTTTGCACTCTTTTCGTCGGCCACCTTTCTCATCTCACCACTGAACGCACTCTTCGCAAGGTTCATCTCTTTTTTTCCCCCCTTTCTCTCTCTCTCACACACATACACATTCTGTTTGGTTGCTCAGAAAATTGAGCAGAGAAAGAAATAGAGAGAAAGTTGTTCGACTGTGATCGGTAGAAACCCAATTCAGTGGAAATTCTTGGTCTAAAAACGAATTTTGAATTTGGGTTTTCAGGCTATGAGCAAGTATGGTCGGGTCAAAAACTTGTGCTTGGTCAGGCACATTGGTGAACTTCTTAATTTTGGTTTGAATTCGAACTCTGTATAGAATGTCAAAACATTACAACTACAGTGCTCTTGAATATTATGCATATTGGTTTGCAGAGTTTTATGTGTGTGCGTGCGTGTGTGTGTTTTTTTTTTTGACACAATACTGTGAGAGTCCTTCTTTGGAATTTGATTGGTGCAATTTTTCCAGTAACTGGTGCCTCGCGTGGATATGCTTTTGTTGAATATGAAACCGAAAGGGAGATGCAGCATGCGTATAAGGTGCTGCAACTTTTTAAGCACTCTCTGTAGTCTATACAATATGGAATCTCTTCTTATATTTTCATATATGTACATGCATATTTATGTGGCGGGGAGTTCTAATTTGACACTCTGGTACTGGTGATGGATTTCGCTTCAAGCATAATAGTATTGGTGATTGTTCTCATATACACATCCTTCTCTCATGAAATTAAATTTATTGGCTGTGCTTGCTAGTATTGTGAAAAAAGACATGCATATCAATTTTATGTGGTTGGATAGCATATTTCGTAATGGTATGACGAGGCAAGCCGGAAGTTCAAGGAAAAGAAAATAGGGGATAATGTGAAAATATGATCTGCATATGTCATAACATGTCTATGATGAGCTTAGATTAGTTGCTTGTTTGCACGAAGCTCACCATTCCTTGATTGATGATTCTAAAGTTATTGTTGATTACAACAGACAGCAGTTGATAACCAGGCGTATTCTTCTACCTTCAGTTTGCATATGCCTATAGGGGTCAAGTTCATCTGATTTTATTGTTTTACCAGGAGGTGGTTTCTGTGGCAAGAAGGAATCTAGACAGCTTCGTTTTGGAGGATGAGAAAACCATTTCGAGCTCCCCTGTATGCATAACTGTCTTAATTACGTAATATATTTTGTAAACTTGCAGTGAACTAGATGTACCGACTCTTTACCGTTTATTTATCGTGGTAACCAGGCGTCCAATCCCGTAGGACGAGCTGGAGAGACTTGGGAGACTTGGTGACCCGGGTTCGATCCCCGGCAACGGCGCCAAAATTTGATGTGAGAATTACTTGACACTCAAATTAAACCCTCGTTTGACAATTGTAGTATATGAATAAGTAGGGATCGTTCTTAACCGGGGATTAGGAGGGATTGCAAAATCACTTGGAGATTGACTCAAAAACGTAAATAAAGTTTGAAAACACTAAACTAGACTCAAAGAATGCAAACTAAACGATAAAACACTAAAACAAATCAAAAGACTCAAAGAATACAAAACGCTTATAAACACAAACTAAGACACTTTCTAACTAAATTAGACACTAAGGTAAAGGGGGATTGGTTTTGGACGAGATTAAACTAAATGGGCAGATTGTAAGAAAACAGATTTTAAGACAAAATTGTGATGAATCAATGGATGATGGGATAGCTAAGGGGTTCTTCTCCACACATGAAAAATATGCAACGTAAATCAATTTCCAATTATCAATCCAATAAGTTGTGAACCTCGACACTCCAAGTTAATTAGGTCCGCTTAAATTAACCTTCAGATTTCCTTAAAATCATTAAATTTGGATGAATATGCATCGCAAACAAATTATTCCTAACAAATTCTCTATATGAACAACATGATAAAGATATAAGTTAGAATCATTACGTTCTTTGGAAATCATAAGCATCGACAAGGCATTTGTAACTATGGAAAGCATGATACGCTTGCCAGGAATCTACTTAACATGATTGTGACTAGCAACCTTCACTACTTGTGAATATAAATTCATAACGATTAGGTGAAACAAACTTATATCCTAGCACCAAATTCAAGCATGCAAATTAAGCGTGCACTCTCAATCAACATACAAGAATAAGTTCTAAATCAAACGGTTAAGCAAATTGTATTCAAAACTTATGCAACGATAACTGGAAGTAATCAACTTATTTCACATATATAATCATGGTTTCGAATCACCCCCTAGCTAACTAGGGGGTTTAGCCTCTCATGTTCACAGAAAGAGAAATACAATTGAATTTAAACATAAAGCACAAAGGATTGATTACACCTAGAACGCCCAACGAATCCACTTGAATTTCGGCGCGTCCAAGCTCCTCTTTCCTCTTCTCCTTGCTGCGGCAGAGATGTTGTGTGGGTTTATTTTGGTGATTTTTTTTGACTTTGGGATGGATTTAGGGTGTTAAAGTGGGCGGCAATGGTCGTGGAATGATGTGTAAGAAGTGATTGAATAATTTATGAATTATGGGATTATGGTGGCTGATTTGATTATAGGTAGTGCACGGCTTAATGGATAATTAGTGGGAGATAATGGGATAGTGTGGATGGTGGGAGAATAAATAAATGGCAATGGGATCATGGTGGCTACGGCTTAAATGTGAATTAATTAGGTTTTGTGGTGCTGCATGATATGAATGAAAAGTAGGGGAATTAGCGTCAATTTGGAAGGTATTGCTGGGAGAAAAATAGGGTAGAATGGGTGATATGGATGGGTGCGGCTGCAAGATTATTGTGGCTTGTTTGAGTAGGATTCCTCGTTTTGGTAAGAATTCATCGTTGGAGTAGGAATTCGTCGTTTCTTCACGTCTTCAACTCATTCATTCCTCTTTCGCTCCAAAAGGCTCCAATTTGCATCTTCTTGCACACTTTGGCCTTATAATCTGAAAATATACAAAAGTGGCCTTAAACACTGAAATAGATAAGTAAACACAACATAAATGCACGAGAACAAGCTAATTAAGTCGCATGAATATGCTCCTATCACCCACCTCCACCAGAAGGAAGATACATGTCACCCTATCAGGCATTTTTCTTCTTTTGGTCCCATTAGCCATTTATTTTCCTCCCTGATTTCAGCAGCCTATAGCTAGTAGCAGTTGCTCAAAGCAGTTTAGATCATTTAGCTTTCGAGCATTATGAGATCTCTCCTCATGGGACTTGTATCACAGAGTCTTTGTTTCTTGTTTGTGTTTGTAGGTCCCGTCCCCACCTAGAAGGAAAAGGAGCCCCATGGATAGTGAAGAAAGTACCCATAAAAGGTCCATGGACAGGGAAGCGAACATGTGCAAAAGTAGTCCTGTGGAGAACGAAGAAAGGTTTTACAAAAGATCTATTGACCCAGAGGACAGTTCTGTAAGGAGCTCAACTGAGACAGAAGAACACTATCACAACGGGAGCTCGGTTGACAGAGCAGAATGCTCTCACAGGAGCTCTAGGGATAGGGATGAGTGCTCTCACAGGAGGATCTCTAGGGATAGGGACGAGCATTCTCACAAAAGGAGCTCGAGGGATGGGGATGAGTGTGCTCACAGGCGGCACAAGTCCTGTCACCGTGTGAGGTCCACCAGCTGTGATCGCTATTAAGATTTTCAGCTGGAGTTAGGAAGGGGTTATGGAAAGATCGAGGAGAGCAGTCAGTCATGATTTCGTAAGACCCGTCGGGAACTCGAAAGTCACAATATACTCATGAGCTAGTCGTAAACACAAGCAAAAAGAATGTCCAATTTGCTTGACTTTCTCCTTCACACTCAACTTCTTCCACCATCGTCGGTTGATGGTGTCAATATGTATCACGATTTGCTCATTCACATTTAGAAATGCAGGGATCATGCTATGTAGAACTGTGTGCATTCAAATTTAGAACAAGAGCTCATGCAATGTATGGAAATTCAAGTCGCCGAATATTTTGGAACACACACTAGTAGAAATTGGTATATACTTTTAACGATACAGAATTACCTTTAAGGCTTTAACATTGCACGAGCAGGGTAAATGTTTTCATCCATATTAATCGATTTGATCGGTTTGGTTTGAGGTCAAACGATTTAAATACCGAAATAAACCAATTTATGTTTTGTTTGGTTCGTTTTTTCAAAATTTTGAAGGCGAGGAAATTTTTCAAAATGTCATGTGAACTTATATTTTTCAATGTCATATGGAATAAAATTTAAGCGATTTATGCCAATTTTTTAAATTCATTAATTTATTCTCACCCTAAATCGTTTCAACACCTCACTCCTCTTCTAATAAGTTGTCTTTGACAACAAAAATTCTAGGTTTTCTCAAAAAATACAAAAAAAAAAAAATGATTAATTTGATATACAATGATCTGAGAGTTTGCCGTTAAGAAAAAATGAATGACTTGCACTCACTTATCTGTATTTCAGAGTGTAAATTCAAAATATAGTCACTAAAAACCCTCTAATTTATGATACAGTAAAATAATATTCACTATATTAAAATGTTCGAAATAACTCTGTACACAATTTATGTGCAGGGAACATGACTTACAAAACTTAACAAAATATAGATAAGATAACCAATAAAAATTTTAAAAAATTAGTATCTAAACTTAAACAAAATATGGATGGAATGACGAATAATAATTTTAAAAAATTAGTATGACTACGCTTATAATTTAGCTCTTAAGACAAGGATTGAACAAACGTTTATAAATTCAATGACATTTCAAAAGCTTAAATGACTCTTTACTACAATGAAAATTCTACGATAGTGAAAAGGTGTTGTATACTTACATAACAACGTAAGTTCAAAACCCATCAGTGACAATATTATAATTAGAAAAATGATCATGCTGCTTCATCCCCGGACCTCTTATTCAGGTAACGGGTGTTCTTTTGTTTTCTTTTGTGTACGTTGTACTACTTGGTAAGAAACCGTTTGGAATTGATTTTGTAGCAACCACTTGTGAGGCTCACAAGTGCTTCTACCATCTTAGAAAATTTCTTGAAAGTCGAACACTTCATGAAAAACAATAGAAGCAAGCACTTCTCAAATACGCTTATATAGTGCAAAAGCACTTTTATTTAGAAGCACTTTTTAACTGTCAGAAGCACATTTAGCCACAAACATTTTGACAAACCCGAGGTTTTACATTACTAATCTTGTTCAAAAATGCACACAACCTCAAATTTTGTTTCGATTACATGACAACCTCAATCATGCCTTGCTGTCGATGGTCATCGGCACCGGCTCCTGTTTGTTCATTTTTGCAAATATGTTGCCGTAGAACTGCGCGTTCTTCTTGTTGTACTCTCTCACTTTCTGCTTCAATACCTTGTACTCCAGTTTCACATCCCTGGAAATACATAACCGCAATCCCACACAAGTTAATCGACATACGAAACATAAAAACGACACAACTCGTCAACGAACCATCTAAGACGAACAAAAACGACACGACTCATCTACGAACCTGTTGTCGGGGTCTATCTCAAGGGCCTTCTTGATATCCAGCTCTGATAAGTCCAAATCCACAAGTTGGATATACGCTTGCGCCCTTCTGTACAAAGCCTTCACATTCCGGCTGTCTAAATCCAAAACCTCCATATCAATGCTCTCACACATAAGAAGAGAAACAAACTACACTACCATCGCACTCGCGTGGAGATATGGGAAACCGGCGAGCTTGTACCTTTGTGCAGAGCTTCTCTGCCTGCTTGTAGTCTTTGAGTTTCAGCTTGCACGCAGCATCATTCAGATTGCAGGTTATTTTCAGCACCTTCGCCCGCTGCTTCTCCTCGTCACTGAAAGTGGAGTCATATTCGACAAACCTCACAGCCTGTCACTGAAAATTAGATGTTTTTATGAGTTGCCATAAAGGTCCAAGTAAAATCGGTGTCACTGAAGCAAGAGGCAAGACTGCTGGATATACCTTTTCGTATCTCTTGGAGGCTCTTTCGTGTTTACCAGCCTTGAAGAGTGCATTCCCTTCTTCCTTCTTCTTCCCAGCGGTTTCGAGTTTTTCTTGTGTGTTCGTGTCCCAAGACTCCTTGTCCTGCAACCAGTAAAGTAAGTTAGACCGGCTTAATTCACAACGGGGAACGGGGACTGCGTCGAGGGCAACATATCATACTTACCTTGACAAAGGAGACCAGCTCCACCTCATAATGGACCGTCGAATTTGCAGGAACAACAGCCAAATCTTGTGCTGATTTGGTCAACCCGAATGCATATTCTGGTTGAATGGTCACAAGAGCCACTTCACCGTTCTTCATGTTCTTTACAGCTCTATCGAGTCCCTCAATTACTTGCTCTGCAAACAATCAATACATCTCAAGTTTTCCTGTTTGGAATTTTAACTCAATAGTTTCAGAGAAATGACGTCGAAAGGAGATGATTATCTTCATCCGTCTTGAAGATCGTGCCGTCAGGCAACTTCCCAACAAGTTTCACTGCCAGACCAAAACAAATACAGAATTTAAGATCCGCGGACATTCGGGTGCTCATATCCCTCTCCCTCCTTCAATGTCTTTTTCAGGACCTTATCTTTGGTAACATCAGAAACCGTCTTCCACGATAGCAACTGGAGTGCTATCTCAATGGTCGCATTTGGCGGCACTGCACCTTCATCCCCTATAGCTGACCTGCCCGCCTCGCCAAATCCATCTACAAAATTATAGCCGTTAAGTTTTCATCTTGTGAATAAATATGAATACTCTCAATAAATAAGTAATCAACAAGTGAGCATATGGGCACAGGACTCACATTGTGGCTTTACAGTCAAAAGGACCTTTTTCGCCTTTCTTCATTGTTTTCACAGCTTTTGCCAAGGCGGGGCAGAAATAGCCTGCAATCAAAGAGGTTTCACACTCAGATTATTTGGAAAAAAACGATTCTTTCTGTCGCAAGTAAACATATGAGATACGGCAATGAAACTAATCATCCTGGACAGTAAACTCGACCCCATCGGATTTCGAAACAAGAGTCCCATCTTCAAGCCGAGCCACGCACTTAACTGAGATGCCAACAAAGCAATGTGTAAGAAACCAATGGGATAAGGCTGCCTACAACTTAAAAGTCTTCCAAGTAGCGTCTCCCAACTCAAGTCCCTTAGATGTGTTACTCTCTCGCTGCAAAAATCTTGAGAAGTTTCCAGAAATTTCAGTAGCTATGAAGCAGCCTTCAGAGCTTTATATGGATGAGACTGCAATTGAAGAATTGCCGACGTCGATAAAACATCTTCCGGGGCTCGAAACTTTGAGCCTAAAAGGATGCTCGAAGCTTAAAATACTGCCATGCAGTATCTGTCAACTTAAGTCCCTGAGATATTTTACTCTTTCTGGCTGCTCAAATCTTGAGAGAAGTTTCCAGAGATTTTAGAAGTTATGGAAGAGCTCTGGTGCCTTTATGTAGATGGGACCGCAATTATGGAACTACCCTCGTCAATTGATCTTTCCGGGCTGAGTACTTTGAAGCTAAATGGTTGTCTTGGGCTTCAAGGTCTTCCAAGCAGCATCTGCCAACTCAAGTCTCTTAGAGATGTTTCTCTTTCTGGCTGCTCAAGTTTTGAGAAGTTTCCTGAGATTTCAAAAGTTACAGAAGGGTTCACTTACCTTTATTTAGATAAGACAGCACTTAAAGAACTTCTCTCATCAATTATAAATCTTTCCGGGGTCGAATCTTTGAACCTAGAAGGCAATCTTTGAACCTAGAAGGTTGCCGAGGCCTTAAAAGTCTTCCATGCAGCATCTGGGAACTCAAGTGCCTTAGAGATGTCAATCTTTCTCGTTGCTCAAATTTTCAGAAGTTTCCAGAGATTTCAATGGTTGTGAAGGGGTTATCGAGTCTTTGTTTGGATGAGACTGCAATTGAAGAATTGCCTTCGTCGATAAAACATCTTACTGGGCTGAGTACTTTGAATCTCAGAGGTTGCCGAGGGCTTGAAGTTCTTCCAAGCAGCATATTTCAACTTAATTCCCTCAGAGATGTTACTCTTTCTGGCTGTTCAAATTTTGAGAAGTTTCCAGAGATATCAGAAGCTACGAAGGTGCTTACGTACCTTCTTTAGATAGGACTGCAATAAGAGAACTGGCGTCGTCAATTGAAAATCTTAGGTCTGTTTCTTTGAACCTTAAGGACTGCAGAGAACTTAAGAGTCTTCTAAGCAGCATATGTCAACTCAAGTCCCTCAAATATGGCACTCTTTCTGGTTGTCCAAAGCTTGAGGTGCTTCCAAGTATTTTAGAGTATATTCAACGATTATGGAATGCTTGATTTAGGTGGAACATTTAACCAAGTTTTTTCTGGATCTGTCACAGCTCTGATAAACCTTGGTTTCTTGAATTTCAAAGAAGTTTGGATTTTTCCAAGCATTACTGGTAGGAAATCTTTGTTATCTTTGATTTTATTTGCTGCTCAAATATTGGGAAGTTTCCAAGTATTCAGAAGTTATGAAGGAGAGCAATCAGTGCTCCACCAAATATGTGACTGCAACTAAGTTTGGTCAGTTGGTTGTTGCTTCAGATCTGATTTTCTATCAACCTGTTGATGGAGTTGTGGTTGATGGAGTTAATGTGTTGTTGATACCTTTGGGGCTGGATTGTCTATTTCTGGGAAAGTTTGGCTGTAGCTGCTTACGGGGCTATGGAGATGGGTTATTGTAGTCCTGCTTGGTTAGGAATGGAAGACATGGCTCTAGTAGCTTACGAATTGCTCAGTTGGATACCCACCGTTGGTACTCGCACCATGGGAAGTGGCAAGTGGCCGAACCATTGGGGTTTCACTTTATGCTTTAAAAAACTCTAGAGGACTTGCAACTCCAATTTCTTGGGAGGAGGGTTGGGTTTGGCCATCTCCTGTTGTGGCATTTTCATTCAGAGGACCCAATTTCCAAGCCCTGAAATTCTCAAGCCTGATGTGGCGGGCACCAGGGATGAACATTTTTCCTTGGACTGGAGAGTTAGGTGCATCAAGTTTTCCAACAGACCACCGTTGAGTGAAGTTCAATATATTGTCTGGTACTTCAGTATCATGCCCTCGTGTGTGCGTCATCGCTGCTTTCCTCAAGGCTAACCACACCTCGAACAGTAAAACAGCAATAAATCTGTCTTGATGACAGCTTATTTTCTTGACAACACACGAAAGCCTCTACAAGATGTCAGCAGCCGAAGTTTCAACTCCAGATGATCGTGGCAGTGAAAACATAAATCCAATGCGAGCTCTCTACTCAAACAGGAGTTGCCAGCACTCTCTATAGCTAGTCCAGGGGACATTAACTTCCTGGCTTATTTCAGATGTGTGCCCAGAGGAATACAAATGGTTTCCTTTTATCCTTCGCAGAACAGTCGGTAATGTTCGCCGTGCAATTTCAACTTACAATGCCATGGTTTCTCCATTCAAGTCATGTTAAAGTTGAGCATCGTAACCTTATTTTCACCAGAGCTAATCAATAGCCATCTTATAAAATCCCATTCACTACGAGGTCTTGGCAAGCAATTCCCGAGTTTGGAGGCTTGGTATGGAATGATGGAGAGTGCACAGGTGAGACCGTGAGATGCCCTGGCTGCCACGTTATTTGTTGTTTTTACTTGAATGAATCTAAACGGGTTTTATTACTAATTTATGTTTCGTCCAGTGGTTGGTTAACCCTCCTCTACTTGCCATAATCTTCTAATCATCACTGCCTCATGTGCTTTATAAAAAAGAATGGGCGATCCCAAGTTAACAAGGCTCCCCGCGTTGCGAGAGTTGAGCGAAGAACGTCTATTGTACGCAGCCTTGCTTAGCAAAGAGGCTGTTTCCACGTCTCATGTGCTGTATAATGCATTTGATATTCCCGGATTTCCCATTGCCTAGTTTCTTTCACGATGCTTGATATACAAAATTTAGATGGAGGAAATGAGAATTTTTAAGCTCAATACCATGATCAATGGATTGTGTTATGTTTTTTTATCATGAGGTGAAGGACAATTTCATTTCATCATCACACTAACTAGTTCTATCTTTATATGTACAAGCAGGAAGGAGAAGGAACTACGGAGGAAGCAAAGAAGAGTAATGTCGCCGGAAAGCTTGAGAAGCATCAGCAAGTTTGCACGCTAAACTCCCAGATTGAAGGACAGTTTGGGGGTAAGTGGTTTTTGGCTTTGCATGTACCTTCCCGTCCTTGCGAATGTGACAGGGCAGAGCTGATGGCTGAGTTTAATAACTCGTTTTAATACATTCGATTGTATTTGTTTTCTGCATCATCTTATTTTGTTTCGTAAACTAATCTGTCAGGCACATCTTGGAAGGTAAGGAGCCTGAGTTTTACATGACCAAGCTCTAGAGGAAGAATCGAGAGGGTGTTGGCGTTGCTACATAAACAGTCTGTTGACGCTGATATAAGAGCCACCACCTTACATTGATGACAGACTAATCTCGCTTGTTAAACAGTCCCAGAACTACACAACATCGTACTTTCGATAATGAAATACATTCATGGGAGTTCAAACCCGGATTGAGGGTTTCAGTTGTAATGAATTCGATTCCAAATGTTGTTGGAATCATTTGAAAACCCACATACTTTTTTCAGTCAATATGCTCCCTCGGTTCAAAACCGAGAAAACATGGGCTGAGCATCATATTTTTTTGGCCCGTTTGAGTCAATGCGTTGCAAATAAAAATGTGGGCCGGAAACAAAATGGGCCCAGAAAATACATCTATAAAGCCCACCTGTTTTGTCCATGAATTTGCATTGCTTCTGAAGACAGAGAGAGATTATGCGACGATGAGTGGGGGCGGACGAAACGTGAACGGAAACTTAAACGCGGTGTTCTACTCGGAGGCGTATCATCCGATTCAGGCGGGAAGCATAGACGGCACCGACACTCTCCCTCACGACAACGCCGTCTACCGAGCCTTCCTCTGCTCCTCCGCTGGCCTCTGTAACCACACACTCTCTCTCTTCTCCTCCTTTTTTCCTTTTTTCTCTTATATCCCTACCCTTTGCTTCTTCTTATTTATACTTTGGCCCTGTAACTCTTTTTCGTTTGCAGATGACCCCCTGGGCGACCCCAAGCTCCTCGGCGATCCTTATTGCACTCTCTTCGTTGGTCACCTTTCTCATCTCACTACCGAACGCACTCTTCGCAAGGTTCATCTCTCTCGCTCTCTCTCACTTTCTGTTTGGTTGCCCAGAAAATTGAGAAAAGAAAGAAATAGGAAGAAAGTTGTTCAACTGTGATCGGTAGAAACCCAATTAAGTGGAAGTTCTTGGTCTAAAAACGAATTTTGAACTTGGGTTTTCAGGCTATGAGCAAGTACGGTCTGGTCAAAAACTTGCGCTTGGTCAGGCACATTGGTGAGCTTCTTAATTTTGCTTTGAATTCGAGCTCCGTGCAAAATTTCACAACATTACAACTACAATGCTCTTGAATAGTAATATAGTATGCATACTGGCTTGCAGAATTTTATGCTTCTATTTTGACACTGTAATGCTATGAGAGTCCATCTTTGTAATTTGATTGGTGCAATTTTTCCAGTAACTGGTGCTTCGCGCGGATATGCTTTTGTTGAATATGAAGCCGAAGGGGAGATGCAGCGTGCATATAAGGTGCTCCAACTTTTTAGCCACTCTCTCTAGTCTATACGATATGGAATCTCTTCATTTATTTTCATATATGTATTGCATGTCTGTGTGGCGGGGAATTCTAATTTTACATTCTTGTACTGCTGATGGATTTCGCTTCAAGCATGATGGTATTGGTGTTTGTTCTCATAGACACGTCCTTCTCTCACAAAATTAAATTGATTTGGCTGTGCTTGCTAGTTTTGTGAGAAAAGACATGTGCATATCAAAAGACATGTGCATATCAATTGTAGGTGGCTGGATACTGTATTTCATAATGGTATGCTTAATGTCTTAAATGTGGATAGACGAGGCAAGCCAAGGAAAAGAAAATTGGGGACAATGTGAAAATATGATCTGCATAAGTCATAACATGTCTATGATGAGCTTAGATTAGTTGCTTGTTTGCAGGAAGCTCACCATTCCTTGATTGATAATTCTAAAGTTATTGTTGATTACAACAGACAGCAGTTGATGCCAGGGTGGATTCCAAGAAGATTAGGTCAGTGAAGTTTTCGTATTCTTCTACCTTCAGTTTGCATATGCCTATAGAGGTCAAGTTCATGTGATTTTATTGTTTTACCAGGAGGTGGTTTCTGTGGTAAGAAGGAATCTGGACAGCTTCGTTTTGGAGGACGAGAAAAACCATTTCGAGCTCCCCTGTATGCATAACTTTCTTAATTATGTAATATATTTCATAAACTTGCAGTGAATTAGATGTACCGACTCTTCACCTTTTATTTATCTTGGTAACCAGGCGTCCAATCCCATATGACGAGCTGGAGAGACTTGGGATCCCACCTCCACCAGAAGGAAGATACATGTCACCCTATCAGGTATTTTTCTTCTTTTGGTCCCATTAGCCATGTATTTTCCTCCCTGATTAGCTAGTAGCAGTTGCTCAAAGCAGTTTAGATCGTTTGGCTTTTGAGCATTATGAGATCTCTCCTCATGGAACTTCTATCACAGAGTCTTTGTTTCTCGTTTGTGTTTGTAGGTCCCGTCCCCACCTAGAAGGAAAAGGAGCTCCATGGATAGAGAAGAAAGTACCCATAAAAGGTCCATGGACAGGGAAGCGAACATGTGCAAAAGTAGTCCTGTGGAGAAGGAAGAAAGGTTTTACAAAAGATCTATTGACCCAGAGGACAGTTCTGTAAGGAGCTCAACTGAGACAGAAGAACACTATCACAACAGGAGCTCGGTTGACAGAGCAGAACGCTCTCACAGGAGCTCTAGGGATAGGGATGAGCGCTCTCACAGGAGGATCTCTAGGGATAGGGATGAGCATTCTCACAAAAGGAGCTCGAGGGATAGGGATGAGCGTGCTCATAAGCGGCACAAGTCCCGTCACCGTGAGAGGTCCACCAGCCGTGATCGCTATTAAGATTTTCAGCTGGAGGCAGGAAGGGGTTATGGAAAGACCAAGGAGAGCAGTCACTCATGATTTCGTAAGAACCGTCGGGAACGCGTAAGGTAACGACTTCAGGCTCACAAGTCTATGATGAGCTTAGATTAGTTGCTTGTATGCATCATAATATATTGTACTACTTGGTAAGGTAGCGTTTGGAATTGACTTTGTAGCAACCACTTCAGGCTCACAAGTGCTTCTGCCGTCTTTAGAAAATTTCTTGAAAGTCGAACACACCTTGAAAAACAATAGAAGCAAACACTATTCAAATACGCTTATATTGTGCAAAAGCACTTTTATTCACAAGCACTTTCAACTGTCAGAAGCACATTTAGCCACAAACATTTTGACAAATCCGAGGCTTTTTACATTACTAATGTTGTTCAAAAAAGCACACAGCCTCAAATTTTGTTTCAATTACATGACAACCTCAATCAAGCCTTGCTGTCGATGGTCATCGGCACCGGCTCCTGTTTGTTCATTTTTGCAAAAATGTTGCCGTAGAACTGCGCGTCCTTCTTGTTGTACTCTCTCACTTTCTGCTTCAATACCTTGTACTCCAGTTTCACATCCCTGAATACACAACCACAATCCCACAAACACGTTAATCGACACACAAATGCTACAAAAGCTTGTCCAAAACGAACAAAAACAACACAACTCATCAACGAACCATCTATAACGAACAAAAACGACACAACTCATCAACGAACCTGTTGTCAGGGTCTATCTCAAGGGCCTTCTTGATATCCAGCTCTGCTAAGTCCAAATCGACAAGTTGGATATACGCTTGCGCCCTTCTGTACAGAGCCTTCACATTCCGACTGTCTAAATCCAAAACCTGCATATCAGTGCTCTCACACATTAGAAGAGAAACAAACTACACTACCCTTGCACTCGCATGGAGATCTGGGAAACCGGTGAGCCTTGTACCTTTGTGCAGAGCTTCTCTGCCTGCTTGTAGTCTTTGAGTTTCAGCTTGCACGCAGCATCATTCAGATTGCAGGTTATTTTCAGCGCCTTCGCCTGCTGCTTCTCCTCGTCGCTGAAAGTGGAGTCATATTCGATTAACCTCACAGCCTGTCACCGAAAATTGGAGGTTTTTATGAGTTGCTACAAACGTCTAAGTAAAATCGGTGTCACAGGAGCACGAGGCAAGACTGCTGGATATACCTTTTCGTATCTCTTGGAGGCTCGTTCGTATTTACCAGCCTTGAAGAGTACATTCCCTTCTTCCTTCTTCTTCCCAGCGGTTTCGATTTTTTCTTGTGTGTTCATGTCCCAAGACTCCTTGTCCTGCAACCGGTAAAGTAAGTTAGTCCAGCTTAATTCACAACAGGGAACGGGGACTGCGTCGAGGGGGACATATCATACTTACCTTGACAAAGGAGACCAGCTCCACCTCATAATGCACCGTCGAATTTGCAGGAACAACAGCCAAATCTTGTGCTGATTCGGTTGACCCGAATGCATATTCTGGTTGAATGGTCACAAGAGCCACTTCACCTTTCTTCATGTTCTTCACAGCTCTATCCAGTCCCTCAATTACTTGCTCTGCGAACAATCAATACATCTCAAGTTTTCCTGTTTTGGAATTTTAACTCAATAGTTTCAGAGAAACAATGTCGAAGGGACATGATTACCTTCATCCGTCTTGAACTCGAATGGCTCGTCATCATGGCCCTTCTCTGTGAAGATCGTGCCGTCAGGCAACTTCCCAACAAGCTTCACTGCCAGACCAAAACAAATACAGAACTTAAGATCCACGAACATTAAGAATGTAATTACCCACGAAATTTTATGCATCACTCGTATTACCTTTAACTACCGCCCCATCATTCGGGCGCTCATATCCCTCTCCCTCCTTCAATGTCTTTTTCAGGACCTTCTTATCTTTGGTAACATCAGAAACCGTCTTCCACGATACCAACTCGAGTGCTATCTCAAGGGTCGCATTTGGCGGCACTGCGCCTTCATCCCCTGTAGCTGGCCTACCCGCCTCGCCAAATCCATCTACAAAATTATGGGCGTTAAGTTTGCATCTTGTGAATAAATTTGAATACTCTCAATAAAATAAGCAATCAACAAGTAATCATATGGGCACAGGACTCACATTGTGGCTTTACAGTCAAAAGGACCTTTTCGCCTTTCTTCATTGTTTTCACAGCTTTTGCCAAGGCGGGGCAGAAATAGCCTGCAATCAAAGAGAATTCACACTCAGATTATTCCAAAAAAACCAATTCTTTGCGTCACAAGTAAATATATGAGATAAGGCAATGAAACAAACCATCCTGGACAGTAAACTCGACACCATCGGATTTCGAAACAAGAGTCCCATCTCAAGCCGAGCCTCGTACTTAACTGAGATGCCAACAAAAAATTGTGTAAGAAACCAATGAGTTCATGCCATTCATCAATTTTTAGTCATCGGATAGACAATGTACCAAACACTTCGTCAAGATCTTTCGGATTCTCCCATTTCTCTCCTTCGATGATAATTTTCTTCATAACTCCGCCGTCCTTGAGAATATCCTTCACACTCGTCCAGGAAAGCAACTCCACATCGAACTGAAGTGTGGCATTCGGAGGAATCGTTGGAGGGGATCCAGACTCGCCGTAAGCCAACTCAGGCGGTATGGTGAAAACCGCATTTTCGCCCTTCTTCATGGTTTTGATTCCTTCATCCCATCCCTTAATCACTTGTCCTGAAATTAACCAATTGAATCATAACGGCTCAGTAAGAGGAAAATTTAACAAAATGTTATCCTCTCGAATCAAGAATTGCTCCATTGGGACCGAAAGGTCACGAATTCGAGTCGTAAAAACAGCCTCATTTCAAAGCAAGAGTAAGGCTGCGATAAATGTTCCCCACCCCTCACAAAGTGAGAGCCTTGTTGGCTTATGGTCACCCTTTACATATATAAACACAATTGAAAACAATGATAAAGTGGAAACGAATCAATCACCTTGTCCGAGATTGAACTTGAAAGGGGTCCCACGGTCACGGCTCGAATCGAATTTGGTTCCGTCCAGCAGAGTCCCAGTGTAATGCACTGTAAAATTATCACCAGCCAATTAGTACCAACGCTCACCATCAAACAACATACATACATGTGTATGTATGTACGCGTGTGTGTATAAGTATAGTATATATATAATTATACCTTCAACTTCGTCGCCGGAGCCGGGAGTGTCCCAGCCTTCACCCTCTTTAAGGAGCTTCTTCTTGAGGCCATTCTTCCCGATCTCCTTCTCATCACCAACCTTGAGAGTTGGGCTAGTTGGGTCGTCCTCGGCGTCGGGAAGGTCCAAGTCACCGGGGTCGTTGAGGCTGTTGGTGGCAGCTGAGAAATCAAAGTCGTCTTCCATGGCAACTTCCTGACCCGATTGCGATGGGCGTTTAATGTTATTGAACAAGCAAGCGCGAAACAGAACAGTGAATGCAGAGGCTTTTTCGAATTGCGGAGAAACAGAGAGCTTGCCAATGGAATTTATAGAGAGAGAGGCAGAGGAGAGAGAAAAAGAGAGGAGAGTCTAGAGAGTTCTGAAACGTGACATGGTCAGGATGGTTCCAGAATTATCTCCATTTTTGACGAACTTTGTTATAAGATACAGTCTTGCAATAAAAAAAATAATTATTCCATTAAAAATAAATAAAATATATAAATTAGTTTGGCCTCTATCACAGGATTTTTTTTTTCTAAAGATTTTAAGAATATAGTGATTAGGATCGTCCATCTGATAAGAATCCTTTTCCGTTTAGGGCCAGTTCATAATTTGAATCATAATATAATTGAATGATCATCTTAACGAAGTTTAACTAAAATTGAAAGACGTTTAATTATTTAACGAGAATTTATTATATATAATTAAAATTTAATCTCTAATTTCATAAATATTAGGTTTCATAAAGATTATCAATTATGGCAACAAATAAAAAAAATAATTATTCCATTAAAAATAAATAAAATATATAAATTAGTTTGGCCTCCATCGCATGATTTTTTATTTCTGAGGATTTTAAGAATATAGCAATCAGGACCGTCCATTCGATGAGAATCCTTTTCCGTTTAAGGCCGGTTCATAATTTGAATCGTAATAAAATTGAATGATCATCTCAACGAAGTTTAACTAAAATTGAAAGACGTTTAATTATTTAACAAGAATTTATTATATATAATTAAAATTTAATCTCTAATTTCATAAATATTAGGTTTCATAAAGATTATCAATTATGGCAACAAATAAAAAACATAATTATTCCATTAAAAATAAATAAAATATATAAATTAGTTTGGGATTTCTCTTCTAAGGATTTTAGGAATATAGTGATCAGGACCGTCCATTCGATGAGAATCCTTTTCCGTTTAAGGCTGGTTCATAATTTGAATCGTAATAGAATTGAATGATCATCTCAACGAAGTTTAACTAAAATTGAAAGACGTTTAATTATTTAACAAAAATTTATTATATATAATTAAAATTTAATCTCTAAATTCATAAATATTGGGTTTCATAAAGATTAGCAATTATGGCAACAAATAAAAAAATTCATTAGACCTAAATGCCGTAAGATTTGATACATAATTACTCTAAACCCTAAGAATTTATACACTACCGTGCTTCAGCATCTCCATCGCGCCTCCCCTCCTCTCCCGACAACTTTTCTCTGCGTTCTTCGTTCTGTCTCTGCCAGAACCCCACTTCTTCACGCGCCGCCGTCATGGCTGTTGAGTAATTAAAAGCCCTCTCTCTCGCTCGTCGGATACTGTCAACTTCCACACCCATTAGTAATCGAATTGAAGGTGAGGTGGGTTTTCTCTGCTTCTGTGTTTGTTTCAATGTAAAGCATCAATTTTTCTGGAAATTAATTATTTTATTTTTTTTGTTTGTATTTAGTTTCTTCATGTTATGGCCGGTATTCGGGAAACAGCCGCCGCCGAGTTCTTACGAGTAAGTATTCTTCGTTACCATTTTTTTCTTTGTTTTTTTATTATTGCTTTGAAAAATTGTAGCATTTTGGTAGAAAATGTCGATCAAAATCGAAAGCTGTATGTCGCTTGGT